TCTCCGAAAAGATGCACATAAATATATATCTATATATACGCTACGGGAGAGAAGGCGAGGAGGGAACCAGGTGTGTGAGGCGACTTTGAAGTTGGAACCGGCAGCAAAATGACCAGAAGAAGAGTGGCCGATAATGAAATGAGTGTTGTCAAGTTATATCTTGTATTGTGCGTGAGGACCAATGAGTATGTGTGTGAAGTGGTGTTCGGAAAGGAGGGTGCATTCATGTGAGGTGCATTTTTCTCTTTTCGCTTGCAGATATATATATATTTCCTCTTTTGTTGTTTTTTATTTAAATTTTTTTTTTGTAGTTTTCTCCGCGTTGTCCAAATATTCTTTATGCGTGTTGGACTGTTTGTTTGAGCATGGCTCTTTGTGTGCCGATGCGTATATACATGGAGCAAAGCGGTGCTTAAAAAAAAAAAAAAAAAAAAAAAACCGGTTTGTGGCAGTGGACGTGGTGTGTGATATGCGTGCGTACATGCGTGGGGAGGGGTCTGTAGTTGTCTCCACGTTGAATTTATTTTCTCTGCGCCCGATACTTTCATGCCTCTCTTGCGTTGTATGCGCTTGTGCTTTTTTTGTTTGTGTGTTTGTCTTTTTTTGCCCCTTATTGCTTTTTGTTTTTGCCTTGGAGGGAACCGCGAGCCATTCAGTAAGAGCAGCGAGATTCAAATCCGCAAGAAGAATCAGAATAAAAAGGAAGCAGGGAACCACAACAGTCGGAGAACGCAAAAACGAAAAGGAGGCCGGGGTTAAGTGTGTGCTTGTGTGCTTGTGTGTGTCTGTGCGGGGCAGGCAGCAGGTGGTGGCACTTGTCGGGGACATTGGCGACTTTCAAGTGAAGGGGAAGAAGGGAGGAGGACAGGGGCGAGATGCATTTGCGGCGTAATTTTCTTCAAACTTGTCTGCCGGAGTTAACCCAAACGCCATTGGGGGGCGGTTGCTCCTTCCCGTCGTTGTCGTCGTCGTCTTCATTTCAGTTCTCTCAGGTGCGTCCCAGAAGTGTGTCGACATGTGCCACTGGCTGCCGTTTTGTCTCCGTTCACCGTCACGTTGCTCTGCACACCACTCTTTTATCCACGTATCAACGCAGCTCCCTGCATTTCTGCACTCTTCTGTGCGCCCGACGCTTCAACGCAAGTAGTCCGCGTCGCGCTCCCACCTTCTCAGAGGTGTCGGAGGCGTGCCATATTTTAGGCGTAGAGGTGGATTGCGATCAGCGGCATTTAAAAAGGGTATATCGTGACTTGGTGCGGAAAAATCACCCCGATGCTGGAGGGGATGAGGCAATGATGAGTCGTATTACCGTCGCGTACGATCGACTACGAGGCATGTCAAAGATTGAGAGGGAACAGTTTAAATTACAGAAGGATACTTATCGCGGGGGAAGTTATTATGCCACAAGGGCAGGCGCCAGCAGTAGCGGTAGCAGCAGCAGCAGTGGGTACCGCTACCAGTCGCCTGCTGGTTACGGGGCGTATAACACCCATGCTTCAAACGGCACGCAGGGCTTTTACGACTCATCATTTGGTGAGTATTTTCGTCAAGGTCCCATGAGGTCCCAGGGCTTCTACAACTACCAGCAACGACAACAAAAATATACCGAGAATCCCTTCTCATCTTCCCATCCGTTTGGGTTTCACGCACAACTTCGAAGAGCATGGAGTATGCCTGTTTCGTCTATTCTTTTACGTGGTCTTGTGATGTACCTTGGGGTGTCGATATTATTATTGTTGGTCTATCGTCAATACCGTGATTGGTTACACGATGACGGATGGAAAATGTCTGAAAGTTTGGCACGATATGAACAGATTTCGGAGCTGCATCGTTTAAGACAAGAGATGAATGAACGCATTCGTTCCACGCGTGAGGCCGCTGCCGCTCAGAGTCCTGGTGCGCGGGTTTTTGCAGCCCTCTATGATGAAAACAGGGACTACAACTCGGTGGTCTCTTCTCGAGAGAAAGAGCTCCGTGCCTTGGAGTACGCCCGTCGTCGACAGATGGAATTGGGCGAGGAGGCGAAGGGGTGGCCGCAGTTTACGGAAGACAAAGGTCGATTGATACGCCGTGCAAAGGATCCACCCGGTGTCGTTTTCTTTGAGCCACGAAAGGAAGACTTGCGGTATAGGCAGCTGCGGAATATGCAAACAGGCCGTGAGTGGAGCGACAAGAAACAAAATGCGAAAAATATGAGTGACAAGGAACCCTCCAATGAAGGCCATGCTCTCGCTACGCCTGTTGCTACTACTCAACCCGGAGTAACCACCACGACTAAAATTAATGATAGTACCGTGAATAATGCTGCTAGTAATACTAGTACCGCTAGTACTAGTAAGAATACGGGTACTAGCAATGGTAACACTGCCTCTGTGGAACTTGATGGGATTACGAGGATTAAAAAAATTATTGGTGACGTATTCCACAATGAGCAGAAAGCCACACGAAACGAATGAGAGTGCCATTTGTTCAATTGTAGGGGAGAGGGGATGGTGCCCGTTTCTCACTCTCCTTTTTTTATGTGTTTTGTTTGTCTCAACTTTTTTTTTTTCTTTTTCATTTTTTTGTGTGTGCGCCCATTATATATATATATGTATTTGTGTGTGTTGTTGGTGTTGTGTGCATTTTAGGAGAATGGAGGGGGGAAAAAAGGGAAATGGCGCCTGTTGTTCAGGCGAAGACATTAGTTTACCTGGATTTTTCTTGTTTTTTTCTCCCTCTCTCCCTCTCTTACTCTTGTGTCTTTTTGTTTTGTGTTTACGAACTAATATGCAAGAAAAAAAAAAGAAAAAAAAAAAAAAAAAGAAGACAAAAAAAAACAATTGCGTTTCTTTTCTCTGTGTTTCTAGTGAGTGGTGCTTTTCTTCTTCCTTTGTTGGTAATTTAGGCGCGTGTCCACACAATTTGGTTCTTCACTCCTCTTTTTCTTTTTTTTTTTTCCTTTTTTTTTCTTCTTAAATGCCTTTTCACATGCACACACTTACCCACCGCCCGTGGTTGGCCTTTGGGTACAGATAACAAGCGACAACAATAATATTAATAACTGCGTTTAACTTTTAAGGCGGAGATCGAGTTCACGCAGAGAAAAGTTTGAGTCATTTTTTTTTTTTTTGGCCACTTGCCAACTCCCATTTTTTGTCTGTCTGTCTGTGTGTGTGTGTTTGCGGGCGTTGCGGGGCTGGGGAAGTCTATCTAAGATATAAATATTTTTGGGCTGGCATTCTGACGACGGGACAAATCCCCTTTTGTTTTGGTAGGAAAAGGGAGTTGTATATATATACATATATATACATTTGATTTGCCTGTGGAGATGTCCTTTAAGCAGGTGTTTCTCCGCGACAATGAAGAATGCCAAGCCTTTCCCTGGGATGCTCTTACGCATCCGTCGCAGAGCGCCGGGGAGGAGCGGCGAACGATTCATCACCACTTGGCTTGGCCCGCGGTGTGCGAGAGGGAGGAGGCGGTCATGGGGACGCAGCCCGCTCGGAAAGTTTCCGAGTTGACATCGGTTTCTTTTTTCCTCCAACCCCCGTTTGCGATTCCACGGCGAAAGACAGGACGTTCTTCGTTGGGGTGTAGACATGACAGACCTTTATACGCCGCTGGTTCCGCTGGCCCCCGGTGTGGCGACAAACCGACGCTTTTCGTTGGAGCGGCCGAGGCGGACTTCTGTGACGACATGGGCTGGAGGCAGAGAAGCAACTCACCGGTCTCTTCTGTCGAACACAATGCAGAAGACGACGGGGAGGACTTTGATGTTGAGCCTGTGGTGCTGAAGAGGTCGTTGAGCGAGAAGGATCGACGAAAACGCTTGCATTTATCTGAGATGAGTGCCCGTTTGTGTCATGCCTTTGCCATGAAGCCATTCCGACTCGCTTGTGGACTCGGCTTGGATGAGAGTGATGATGGTGTTGGTATGGAGAATCAAAGCGGCTGGGGCGCAGGAGAAGAGGCCGCAGTACCACTGCGGGAAAAAGACGACGATGACGACACGACACCCGCACGACAGACGGCGCCAATTTCTGAGACCCAAAGAGGTAATACAGCGCTTAATTTTACCGACAATGACTTGAGTGTTGTCCGTGCCATTGCACTGGCACTCATGGAGGAGGGGGAGAAAAAGAGACGGCAGGAAATGCGGAGGAAAACAAATTGAAGAATGCCTCGTATGCGTACAAGTATATCCGTAAAAATAAAAACACACACACACACGCACAAACATAGATACATACATACATACATACGTACATAGACACAATTTGCTTTTATTGTGTATTTGATGGAAGCGATGGGGATTGTGAAGGGGTGAAAGGTGGTGGCGACAAATTTGTGGTCGCCGCCTTTTCATGAAGAAGGAAGGGAGAGGTGTGGGAAATAACTTTTTTTTTTTTTTTTTTTTTTTCTTTTCTTCTTTTTTTTTGTGTGTTTTTTTGCTTGGCTTATTATTATTATTATTTTATTCCCTTTTCTCCCTCCCTCCTTTTTTTTTTTTTTTTTTTACCTTCTTCTTCAGATTCCGTTGTACGGTAAAATATACATGCATACATACATATAAACACAACTGCCAGAGGTGGAGTGAACTTTTCTTCCTCCATTTTTTTTTTCTTTTTTTTTTTTTTATTTCCTCACCTTTTTAAAAAGGCAATATCTATCAATATATATATATAGTGTAGTAATTTCCGTCTGGCCGAACCACCGAACACCGTCGTACAATCACCATTAACTCATCTGTTTGACGTAAAACTCTCACTGTACACCGAATAAAATAAGAGTTTACGTAAAGACACATACGCACACGCAAACGCCATTGCCACGAGTATTCCTTCTCTTTTTCTTTTTTTTTGTGTGTGTGTTTGTGTGTGTGTGCCTGGACGAACTCCATCATTTTCAGGATCAAGCAACACTCAGGAATATATATAAACAACAACAACAACAACAACAGAAAAGAACACGTTCAATATTTATCCATCGAGGACTCTCAGTAATAATAAATATAACCGATGCAAGTTTCGGATCCAACGGCTGCTTCGGTAGAGGATACCTCCAGTTCCGTGAAGGATTATCGTTACTTCATTGGAGGTATTCAGCGTCACATCACGCAACAAGACATTGAACGCTACTTTTCAGCCTTTGGCGAGTTTGAGGGGTTTACAATGAAGCGGGATTCGGCAGGCAATTCGCGGGGGTACGGCTGGATATCGTACAGAAGTCCACCCCTGGGAATTGCGCGACAGGACCCACACGTGTTGAAGGGTGTTGTGCTTACTGTGGAACAGGCACGTAGTCGAGGTCCTCACGAAGGCAACCGCTCAGAGAAGCGTAGCTACGTGAATGAAGGAGCGTCCCTCCGCCGCCGCCGATCCCGCTCTCCCTCTTCAAGTTCCTCATCTTCCGTGGCGTCACGACGAGGAAACTACCGTCGTTTTACTTCATCACGGCAAGAAAATGCCAATAGCACCTCAAGGTTGCCTGCCATAGCCGTGGGAAATTCCCGCTTGCCACCGTTGTCGACACAAATGTATTCTTCGGCACCTCCCGCTCAATCGTCAACATCCACAACAATTCATGGGAATGTTGTTTCCACCAACAACTGCGATGATGGTAACACCGTGACTGAGACGTATCTTTGTATTCCAATAACGTTGTGTCCATCGGAGTACCTCAGTGACCCTCGAACATTCTGTGCCAGACTAGATCAGAACCGTGTTGGCAGCCTTAATATTGTCCCAACACCTCTCGTTTCCACAAATGCCGCATCCGTTTCCGTTCCACCGCCGCCACCGCCACCGCCGCCTTCCACGAGAAATCTCAGTCAGTATGGTTTAATTGGTGAAAGGGACTCAAGAAATAATGCCGGTTTGCCACAATCCGTTTCGTCTTCTTCAACGACGCGTGTTGCAATGCAACGTGGTATGACGCATTGAGTTGATCACTTCGTTTGTGAATTGCATTTCCATACGCTGTCCCTTGGTTCCTTTGAAATAAAAGGAAAGGAATGCAAGGGAAAATAATAATAATAATAATAATATTAGTAATAAAAACGAAGGAAAAATAACGACGGAATTATTTTTGGGTATAAAAGTGTGTTGAGGATTTCGAAGAATAGGGTGCCTGGGGGGGGGGATATCTTTCCCTTTTGCACTGTTGTCATGATTGATATTCCTTAGCTTCACTATTCCCGCTTTTTTTTTTTTTTTTGTTGTTGTTGTTTATGTTGTATGAAGGTGTGTTGTTACTCCTGTTGGTGTTGTGAGTTCCCTCGTCATTTATTTATTTATTTATTTAATTATATTTATTATTATTAGTTGTTGTTGTTGTTTATTTTTATCAGCCCGTTTATTGTCATTGTCATCTTCGTGTTGCACCACTTTTCATCTTGGCTTACCCCATGCAGGGAGGACGATGACCGCACATAGTCAGAAATGCATGAAGACGATTGAGCCTCGTGTATTGGAATGGAAAACACCGATGCTACAAATATGTAGAACATCCGGCAACGTGTCTTCATGTCGTTACCGGCAACCGTAAATACGGAATGCCTCCTTATTTTTCATTGAACGCAACTGTTTAGACGGTAAAAAAGAAAGAAGGAAAAAGAAAAAAAGTAAAGAAAAAAGAAAAGAGAGCGAGAGGGAGGAGTGAATGAAAAGGGGTACATTCGCATCAAAAGGAAAAAAACAAACAAACAACAACCCACAAACAGAAGGCAAGTAAATAAATAAATAATCATAAAGAGTGGGGGAGGGCGGAAAACGGGAACGAAGAAACAGAGACATTTGGATAAGATTTGTTGAATAAATGTTATAATGAGAGGACTGCATTCGAGATGGATCCACATATTTCCGCATGCCGCTTCTTTCCCTTCTTACCACAACGAGAAGAACCCATCCACACCCTTGACTGGAAATTAGGATGAAACCTGCCACCACCTTTTCCTATTTCACGAAGAGTCACAGTGCAATTCACGTTATTTCAGTTTTTCCTCCGTTGCAATGCTTCTTGACGCCAAGAAGGGCTTGCATATGTGCTTTTGTGTGCGTGTGCATGGGATGTTTACTTTCTTTTCTTTCATTCTTTTTTTTCTTTATGAGAGGAATTTATGGTAGAGGCATCTACTTTTTCTTGCTGAATGCGTTGTCCTATTATTCTCTGTACGCTTGTGTTTGTCTTCCTTACATCGCTCTTTAATTTTTCCTCATGCCATCTGAACTCTGTAGCTGGACGACACGCTCTGCGTATTTTCAAGAAAAACATGCGACTTTGTCAAAAACGAAAAACAACAACAACAAAAATATAATAATAAATGCTAAATCCATGAAGATTTATAGGACAGAAAAGGAAGAATTGCTGCTGGGGCGAAGAAGAGGAGGAGAACGAGCGTATAATCCCTACCATCTGGTGATTTATGCATGAAAAGGGGTTACATTGTGATCATGTGTATTGCAGACTTTTTAAATATTATCTCTTCCATCTCTTTCTTTTCTTTTTCTTTTCTTTTTCTATATATATATATATATATATATATATATATATATATATATATATGTATATGTTTTTGTTGCCACTTTTTTTTTTATTATTTCACATCACATGGTTGTGTAAAGAGGAATAGAAGAGTCATGCCATTACCTTTACTATTTGCACAGGCGGTGCAAGAGTGCGTCTCGAAGTTTCCGTTGCGACATGACGCGCGCACAGCGCCATTATTGTACGGGACGTCGGGGTTTCGTACATTAGGAGAATTGCTGCCCCCCGTGGCGGCTCGTGTCGCGTTTGTGGCGGTATTACGGGTGTGGTGGGCCGTTGTTAGTCGCTCGGAGCCTGCTGGCTGTTCAGTTGGATGTATGATTACGGCCTCGCACAACCCCGCCACTGACAATGGCTTGAAGCTGGTAGACGTTGATGGCGGTATGCTGGAAGTCTCCTGGGAGAAAGTCTGCACGGCCGTTGCTAACGCCACCACGGCGGAGGAGCTTATGTCTGAGTTGGAGGAGTGGGCGGTCAGGAACAATATTCCTGTTTCTTCTTTTTCCATGGATCAACTTGTGGCCCGTTGTCCCTTTTCAGTGTTGCATCTTGCACGTGATACACGGCCTTCTGGTATGGGAATTCTTTCCGCTGTGCAGACATCGCTACAGTCGTTGCAACTCCCATTTAGGGACCATGGAATAACCACAACACCGCAACTTCATTACTTGGTGCAGCGTGCCAATCAACCATCGATGGCGACAGGAGTATCAAACGTTTTTGAGTTTGGAACTGCACTTTACAGGCAGGATATACTGTCGTCTCTGGAGGCGTTGTTGAGCACTTTGACGGAGCCAACACCGAATAGACGAGGGCGCCGGAAAATCGTTTTGGATGCGTCAAATGGCGTGGGTGCCATCGCCATTCATTCACTGCTTGAGGCTGCGCGGCAGATGTCTTCACAAAATTTTTTGGAGGAGCTTTTTGACATTACCGTTCTCCACGACGACGTGAAAAACGATGGCGCTCTTAATCATCTGTGTGGTGCTGACTTCACACAGAAGACCCGTTCACCGTCTGAGAAAATGAAGGAATGGGCTGCACATTATGGGAAGCAGCATTGTAATGAATCTCGAGAAGAACGAGAGGAAGTCCACTATTATTCGCTGGATGGCGATGCAGATCGTGTGGTAGCCTTCTTTCACGATTGCGATGGAGGAGACACATGGCATCTGTTAGATGGCGATCGTGTTGCCATCCTGTATGCCATGCTGCTCCGGCAGTGTCTTGGCCAGAATGCACTTCAGGTCCTTGACATTGGCGTCGTGCAGACGGCATACGCTAACGGGGCTTCAACAGATTACTTACAGCGCCAGCTTGGGCTTCGCGTGTACACCACCGCCACGGGCGTGAAAAATCTGCATCCCGTTGCCCATGCGCGTGACATTGGTGTTTACTTTGAGGCAAACGGTCACGGCACAGTTTTACTCAACAAGGACTCTATCGCATCCAAGGTTTCCTCATTGGCTGACCCACGCGTCCATGTCATTTTACAACATCTTCCGGTCCTTCTTTCACAAGTGTGTGGTGACGGAATTGCCGATTTGTTTGCCTGCGAATTTGCGCTTTTGGCGTTGCAGATGGACTTTAATGCGTGGTATCATATTTACACGGATCTGCCCTCGCGTCAAACCAAAGTTACTGTACCCAATCCACGAGTGATCACCAACACACCTGACGAAAGACGGGCGTTGACTCCGCCGGGGTTGCAAGAGGCGATTGATGCGGCTGTGGCTGCCACGGCTTTGGCTTCAAACTCTGTGGCGAGGGCGTTTGTGCGCCCAAGCGGTACGGAGCCACTGGTTCGCGTGTACGCAGAGACGGGTAGTGAGGCGCTGTGCAACAGCCTGTGCGAGGTGGTGGAAGGTCTTGTAAGACGGTACTGTGATCCACTGAAAAAGGATGCCTTGCCCCACGTAGAGTGAAAGACACGCAAAAAATCAATTTAGCGAGTGAGGGTAGCGTAAAGTAGGCTGCGGGCACATCGTTGGGCATATGATTACTCACGTATGCAACATTTTGCTGGCAAAATATACAACATTTTTACTTATGTACAAATGCACGTGGATGGATGCTGGGAGGTGTAAAAGATTACTGCATTCAAACCAAATGCAATTAATTAATTGTAGACAGTAATTAATTTACGTGAGGTGTGTGGAGGGATTGTGCGGCCCAATTTGAAGGGGGTCGGAGGATAATAGCACTTATTGGTTAACTCCTCTGCTTTTTTTTTTTTCTTTCTTTCGTCCCACCCCCCCCCGATGACGACTGCCCTCCACGCGGCGAGGGGTTTGGCGGCTGTGGGGCCTTCTTTTAAAGGACTGCCACTTTTCTGCGTTCACAGCGACCCCGGCCATCGTCACATTTGTGTGTGTGTGGGGATGTTGGGTGCAATGAACCAAACTGCCATCTCTCCCTTTTTTTTTGTGTGTGTGCGGTATTTTTAACTTGTGCGAAGTGTGCAGAGAAACATGGGGAAGAAGGGAAAAAAAGACGGAGGAGAACATATATATATATATATCTATATATATATGTACACTGATGTATGCATGTGGGGTCTGCCTAGTTGAGGCGGTGAAAAGAATAACGTCGCCGAAGGGGAACCGCTTGATGAGTGCAAGCCGCGCAGGTGAGTTGACATGTTCACACGCGGCGGGGGGTATCAACGGCACGTTTGTCAAAATTTTTTTTTTCTGCCTTTTTGCTTTTGTGTGCCCTTCTTTATTTATTTATTTATTTATTGCCTCAATAGAACCAACTGTGTGCGCCAAAAAAAACAGAGCAGCCGTTAGCAGCGGCAATAGGAGCATTTGACATCACACAAGAGACACGCAGGCAACATCGTTCAGGACTGATTTTCACGAAACAACAAACAAAAAAAAAGCGGAAACCAAAAAAACAAAACAAAAAAACAAAAACAAAAACAAAAACCAACAACAACAACAAAAAGGCAACAGAGAAAAAAAAAAAAGAAGGGATATTTTTGTTTCTCTGGTGTGAAGTGGCTGAGGCAGATTTCTGTCGGGGACCTACCCAGGTGTTGGACGGAGAACAAAACACTACGAAAAAATTACGACGAAGTCGGAGAAGGAAAACAAACAACAGCAAGAAGCAAGCATAGGAAACAACAACAACAACAACAACAAAAAAGGAGAGAGTGTTTGTGGGGTTTGCAGAGAAACAAACCACAATGATGGGGTATCATGGTGGCAAACGGGGGCATGGCAGGAGTCATCTGACAAGAATTGCAATATGGATCGCAGCAGTGTATATGATATTGTCTTTGTTTGTTTGTCTTTTGACGCATGCGGTGTACGTTGCTGTGGACCCTCCCCTGCCGTTACTAAATGTTCCTTTTTACGTCACTGCTGAATTTTTGCAACAGGGACAGAATTTG